TGTTAAAATTATTTAAACAAGAAAAAGAAGCATTAATCAACCTTTTACACTCTACTAGCGGTTGCGTTGCGTTAACGGCAGATATTTGGTCTGCTGTTGCCAACAAAGATTATTTATCTGTAACCGGACATTACTTCAAAGGCTTCGATTTAGATAAAAGAATATTAGGATTTAAATGTGTTTTAGGATCACATAGCGCCGATCTAATATATAATACAATTTTAAATGTCATTGATGAATATAGATTAAGGGATAAAGTGATGGCTATAATATTAGATAATGCTAGTGCAAATAATAAAGCAATTGAATATTTTGAAAATGATTTAAGTTTATTCGATGATGATACTATATTTCACCAACGTTGTGCATGCCATGTAATTAATTTAGTAGTAAAATCCGGTTTAAAATCGATGGCTATTCATATAAAAGCAATTAGGGATAGTATTGCATGGATTCAATGCAGTAACCAAAGAGAACAAGATTGGTTTAGGTTCTTACAAGCACTAAATCTAACTCCTAGAGCATTAGCCCTAGATATGCCTGTAAGATGGAACTCAACTTATATAATGCTTCAACAATGCCTCCCCTATAAGGATGCTATAACAAACTATATTAGTGTAAAATTAGGAGTAGGACATATAGACGCATATGATTGGCAAATTGCTGAAACTTTGTATAAATTTTTAGGTAGGTTTCATGAAGTCACTTTAAAACTTAGTGGAACATATTACCCAACATCACCTTTAGCTTTTGGTGAACTTTTAAGAATTAGTATATTATTTAGTGAATTTAGGAAGAATCCAATCTTAAAAGTTCCTATCGCTTCTATGGAAAGAAAATTTAAAAAATATTGGTATAAATTACCAATGTTGTATGGTTTCGGTACTATTTTTGATCCTAGATTAAAATTAGAAGGTTTAAAAAGTGGTTTAGAAAACTTAGGTGAATTTTTAGACATCGATTGTTCTGAACAATTTCCTAAAATAAAGGAAAAAATATTTTATCTCTATAGTGTTTATGAGAATAGGTTTAGAAACACCGCTTGTGGAGTACAAAAATCGCAACAAAGAGATGAAAACCCGCATTCATTTATGAATGTTTTCGGGTTGAAGAAAAAGAAGAAGAAGACTCAAACAGAAGCTGGGAGTGGATCTTCATCAAGAGGTGGCGGCGGCGGCGGTGGCTTCAACGAGCTTATGGCGTACCTCAGCGAGAGCTTAGTAGTCGACAATAGTGGAAAATTGTTTGATTTAGTTCAATGGTGGAGCGCACGATCATTAACTTGGCCAATCCTAACTCAATTGGCAATGGATATTTTTTCGATCCCAGTCTCCACTATTTCATCCGAACAAGCCTTCAGTACGACCGGACGAATACTTGAGGAACACCGAAACACATTACAAAGGGATATTGTTGAAGCTTTGGTGTGCATTAAGGATTGGAATCGGGCCGATCAACGTTTACAAGATACAATTTCGCCGGCAAGCCAAGAATGGATAGATGAATTTAATAGATTAACATTTCGCTTAGAAGACAATCCTTCAACTTCAAATTAAATTGTAATTTCTAAATATTTATTGCTTTTGACATTGTAATTGTAATATTTAGACTTTGTAATTTTATAAAATTTGTAATTCGTCACAAAATGATTGCACTCTTTTTTCTTTACCAAGTTTTTATCCTAGTTGTGTTTTTCTTGGTAAGGTTTTTAACGAGGTAATCATGAATTACAAATTTAAAAATTAATAAACAAAATTAATTTTTTGAATTGATTTGTGTTATAGTGTGTTGATTTTAATCTTAATTATAGTTTTTATATAATTTTTACAATAAATAACTTAATAATTATTTATATACAAATAAAATTAATAAACAATATTATATATATATATAATATATATATACAATAT